ATATAGATAACAGCCCACTGTTTCAACTGTGTTATCCCTTAAGACATTTAGAAAACCAGCTTGTGTTTCAGACTGACCACCATGCAGTCAGTCCAAGGGCAGAATTTTCTCAACCCATGAAGGACGGAAAAAATGTGGAAATGAATGAATTTCCAAAGTTGAAAAAGAGAAATAAACACACAGGAGGAACATGTTAATCTAATAAAACAAACAGTATGAATGTGTGTTATTTCTGTAATCAGGCTCTTACACTACTGTGAATATGACAATACGTTGACTCAAATGCCCAGACTACAACAAGAGTGGATTCTTAGACCAAGGCAAACTAAAACTAATTAACATTTCAGAGAAATAAAATTATCCCTGTTTCTGAGATTCCTCCATTTTAATGAAGCATAGCAGAACCATCTGAGCCAGGATTTACAGACATAAATCCTTCACAGCCCAGAGCTGATTGTTATTCCATCAGTCAGTTATGCGTCACAAAGGGTTAAATTAACATGTTTTTGTTTAAATGGCACCAAACAGCCTGCCATGTGCTCTCAATATTCATATTTGATGTCCTACTATTCCTCTATACTCCCAATCCCTTAAACCATAGAGAATGTAGTTAGAAGCTGGGAACATTCCTGTTGATGAAACTGGGACAGACATAGGAAACATAGAACATTTCCTCTTGTAAAATATGTATTTAGTTACTAACTATCCTGAGAATTGCAGTCATAGAAAACATTGAAAAATCCAGTTTTTGCAATGATTACAGCATTTACAAGCATTTCTTGCCTCAACCTCTTCTATATTACTTTTAATTGAGAAAATATATCTTCTTATTTTTCTTTAGCCACACAAATATCAGTCAAACATCTCAACAAATATTAGATGGATTGTCATGAAATATAGGTCAGTCAGGACAACTTCCATCAAAGAAGCTGATATTTGTGCCACTTAGTTATGTTTGGCGGTATGGCTCTGTTCTGCGATCTCCCTGCCCTTCCACATGCCTACGTGGAAAAGCCATAAGTGCCAGCAGGAGGACCCAACTGTACATTTAGTAAAGCCAGTTGCAGTAAATGACATGAAGTGAGGCCACTTAAATTTATATATATTTGCTAGTTTGAGTGACAAATGCTAGAAGTATTAGAAAATCCTGCAGTTAATACAACATTGATGAATGAGCTGGCAGATACGGGCATCACTATCCTTGAGCATCGAGGATGCTTGAACCTCGGGCTGAAGGTAGCATTTATAGCAGAGACGTTTTATAGAGGAGACACTCCACTCAATCACATCCTCAATACAACCAACTTCTTCGCCGTTCCGGGCAAAGATGGCGATTATCCTGCCCCTCCCGCTAGAAAGCCAATTGTCTTCTTTTAACAGCCAAAGCAGGAAACATATTTCAGCCAATCGTGTGGTTCTACTGACGTAAGGGTCTGTTTTACTTCTACTGCGCATGTGTGGAAGTGGTGACACATGCGTAGTAGAAGCATAAGCAGTGGCGTTTTCTCCCAGAGGCCAAGGGAAGCCAGGCTTCCCCTGTTTTTGACTCTTTATCATTTCAATAAAAACACAATGTTTTTAGTTTGATAAATCTTATAAGCTGTTCCTGTCATCTCTTGCCCATTTCTCACTATCTTACAATAAGTGAAACAGCGCCCCTCTAAATGTTATGCGTTGGATGTGTGGTGAAACACTACATTGCACCACCGTAGACTGACCGTCAAGTCTGACTACGTGAGGAGGCCAGGCAGAGTTGGCATTCCTTTGTGAAAAAAATGAAATGATTAACCAATCAGATGAGGCCACTGTCATGCCACAACTTGAGCTGGCCTGGAGACGAAAAAGGGGTTTTGTACGTTCAATGAGGAAAACTATATTCGTATAGAGTGGCTAGCTGGTAGCACAAAACTTCGACTGACTCCGTTGTTGCGGAGGACCTAAAAGCCAGTGGGAAATTTTATAACTTGGTTATTGACTACTTTGCCACCATGAAAGACAGGAGAACGCCCTTCCTTTAGCGTGAGTGAAATGGATGGGGTTGATTGATGTAGTTTGTATGATGCTTTGGCAATATTGTTGTTACACATTCATGCCAATAAAGCTAATTTATATTGAATTGAAATGACACCTCCTTCTCTTTCTGAACTTAACTGAACTACAGCTATGTGTGCAATTTTGATGTGGTTATATTGTTTGTTTTGCTTTGCTTGCCTGGTGGGTAGTGTAGGTGTAGGTGGGTAGTCAGTTGAAGTAACCTTACTGTTTTTACTGTGGATGTGTACATGTGTATATGAGCACCATAGACAGCACCTGCCACAGGGCACTGGGCCAGGTTAGGCTACCTGAATAATTGTCTATACTCTGTTGGACGGGTCCTCGGTTGTTAGTCTTCAGTGATGTTGTGTTATGACCATTTGGCCAAGCATTAAGGAGTATGTAGGCCTATTTGATACATGCACCATTGCTACTATGCAAATGTCTTAAATTGTCTTCTGATTGAGTTTGTGAATGGTTCTTTTATTCTTAACTGTAGCCTATTTGTACTGTGCACAATAAGCAGCGGGCTATGTATGCTATTTGGGGTGAGAGAGAGAGTGAGTAAGTTGGAGACAGAGAGACAGAGAGAGAGAGAGAGCGCGTGTGTATTGATAACAGATGAGCACAGTGTGCATTTTAAATTATGATTCAATTTTGTTTAAAATTATACCCTGCACTGTAATAGCACAATACATTAGATAATTGTCCTCCTAAAAGGACATCCCCTCTCACTTGGCTTCCCCAAAAATTTACCTCACCCCACGCCACTGAGTATAAGCGGTCAGGAAAAACGCTTTTTAAATCAGTGATTTTTATCAGATTTTATTGCTGATTCTACTGATGTAGTTTTTATATCCTGGTGACCAGTAAAAGTGCAGTTCATTCAGATAGGAGCCTGGTCTTGTAAGTCCAAAAAAGCTGTCCGGAGGCGTTGCCAAGATGGCGGCCAAGTGGCATGACTTGCCTATGAGGATTTGATCTGGGACAGAGGAGTTGAAGGAACTACAGGTGGGGTTTTGCCTCGAAATGCTTTTTGTGAGAGGTCCCGACTGGAGCCACAATATTGTTTTGAAATTAGTCTTCCAGGAGCCTGGACACCGCCATCCACGAACGCGAAAGTATTTGGATATGCTTGCCAGATCTCTGCTTCATATTGCTGATGCTGTGAGCAATAGCACCATGCAGTCGATCTGACATGGATCTTCATCATGGAAAGGACAAACAAGCAGCGGGGTAAATTTAAGTGTGTACACAGACAGTTCAGATGTCGGGTACTTGTGAGGTGCTTGCTGGCTTTAATATGGCTGCTATAAGCTGATGTGCTGGATTGTGAGCTGACGGTGTGTCACCATCCTGCCTGAAAATCTGTGTAGACCAGCCTTCACACAGATTTTCAACAGATCACCGGAGCTGTGTGAAGTTCCCTCCTGTCGGACCCCAAAAAACCCTCCATCTCTGGATAAATTGACTACAGGCCTGTCGTCCTGACATCAGTAGTCTTGTCTTTTAAAAGACTGGTGTTGGCCCACCTGAAGGACATTACAGGCCCCTTGCTGGACCCCCTGCAGTTTGCCTACAGGTCAGTGGATGATGCAGTCAACTTGGGACTGCATTACATTCTCGGTCATTCACCGATCTAATGCAGAGTTTTATGTGCATTACTGCTGCCGACAACTACATGCACGTTGCGGTTCCTCGCGGGTCTATTTCAAGTAGCCGGCTATTTAAAAGTGATAAAATATTCTTTATGTGGTTCATCAACGGTGATAAATTATCCAAAAGTCCCGCAATGTGGGAACAACTCGGCACAACACCAGTGAAGCCGGGGCTCGGTCTCTTCAGCAAGCGTTCCTCCACTGCCACTGCACAAATACACGCTACGCCTACACATGCACACTGACGACCCAGGGTTAGGGTTACAATTTTGGATTTATTCACGCACTTCAAAAACATTGTTCATATTGTAATATTTTCATATTGTATATACGGTTTACCAAATCCACCTACCTAACATAACACCTACACATAATACTTATTTATTCCAGCATCCTTTGCACTGTGCTCATGGATCTTGCTACATGTGTACCTGTATATCTCATCCATCTCCGACATGTACATTATAATAATAATTTACTCCTGCATCCTTTGCACTCTGCTCATTGCACTATTGTCTCAATCTGTCTATATTGTTTTTGTTTTTGTTTATAGTGTGTACATATGTGTTCTCTATACTGTAGCCTGTGTCTAATTTTATTATGGTATTATTGTATAAGTAAGCAAATCGTGAGCATTGTACAATCCTGAGTCAAATTCCTCATATGTTTACACATACCTGGCAAATAAAGCTGATTCGGATGACCTGCTAGCGCGGCCTGAGGATAGCAAAGTGTTGGTCCATCAATCTATTTGTCTGTCCAAGACTGGTTCAGAGCGAGGTTGCCATGATATTCGGTATGTTCCCCAGAGCATGGTTCCAAATGATTTGATGACCCACTGATATTTCCTCCAGTGCCACCATAAGGCCAACCTTTCCCACTTTCATAGTTTGTAAACTTAAAGACCAGATTAATCCCCAGTCCCCTTTCCGAAAAACATGCTGCCAGTCCATCTGACCTTTCCTCTCTAAAGTAAACTTTCCATTTTCTTATTTGGCAGCAACAAAATTTATTTTTATAATTTATATTTATTATGTTTTTACAAGACAGAACAACACCTCATAACTTATAACTAATAATAATAATAAAAAAATAATAATAAAATAACATTAAGACAGCAACTGTTGGTAGACCACATGCCAATGATCAGAAACAAGTAAAAATGTTCTAGAAAATGGTTATAAGATGACAGCTGGTCTCTCCCAGTTCAAAGCCCTTCTCCCTGGACGGTGGTACCATGAAACCTCCTCTTGCAGTGTGCAGCTTACAGGTATAAACCCAATGCATTATTAAATTCCTCTGTCTCACCTTGAAAGAGGTACTCCTCTGTGTTCATGTCAGGATTGTCTGTGATAATGTCAAACGGGGACCTCCCAGCCATCATCTCAAACATCAGCACTCCCAGAGCCCACCAGTCCACACTGAAGCCTGGGAGGGCACACAACATTAAGACAAGACATTCATTCAGCTATGATGTGTGGATATATAATAAAAGACTCCCATCTTATCAGTGTGAATCAAACTGAGGCTGGTTTGGTCACAAGTGGAAAATCCTCTCTGTGTACATGAGCTGCCACTTAGTTGTTCATTGTTTTTTTTATTTAAATATAAAGATTTATCATCAGTAGCTTAAAAAATGATGGTTGTTTGAATCAGCATTTGGACATGAACTGATCCGACCCAGGCTGTCTCCTGTACTCACCGTAGTCCTCTCCTCTGAGGATCTCAGGTGCAATGTAGTTAGGTGTTCCGCAGAAGGTACTAGTGGTATCACCTGGTCTGATCCCCTCCTGCAGAGGGAAGAAGAGGAGGTTGCAGAGATAAAAGAGGCAGTGTGGAAGATGTGCGAGAACATGAATGGTGGATAAAAAAAGAGACACTTTAAGTCAATACAGATCTACTGCATTATTGATAACCCTATGCCAGCCATCCACACAGTCTACTGAAAAAAATCAATCACCTTGCACATGCCATAGTCTGTGAGCTTGATGTGTCCCTCGTGGTCCAAGAGAACGTTGTCCAGCTTCAGGTCGCGGTAGATGATGCCCTTTTCATGCAGGAAGTTCAGAGCGATACAGATTTCAGCAGCATAAAATCTGTGCAGGAGAAGAGAGAAACACAGAGAGTGATGTGTCTGACCTGTCCTCTGGTGCCACCATCAGGCTGAAGTTGTCCACTTATAGAGAGAAGAAAATATTAAAATCTATAGCCCATGATAAAAGGCACAATATCATAATATACCAGTACAAAAGTAATGACCATCACACTCACAATGGTCATTAATTAAGCCCCAGAGATAAACAGTGATTAAACTGCAAAATAACTTCAAATCCAATAACTTTAAAATCCACAACTTTATTGCTTTATACTCTCTTGTGGTGCTCAGGTGACAAATATCCTACAAACATCGCAGCTCTATGGATAACAGTCCTGTCGTGTTTGAATAAAGCCATTGCACAGCTTTTATGTAACAGAGAGAGATGTCTGAAGGAAAAGCCATTTCTTAAACAGCTAGAGAAGGCCAGCAATGTTACAGATTCCGTGTCTGAAAAGGGCTTACTGGGAAGATTATCATTTCCATTCTGAACACTCTGTGGTTTCTCCTCTAGTGCCACCCTCAAGACAAAATGGCTATATCTTATGATCTAACAGACAGTCCACCAAGTAATCTACTGAGCATGTTCCTGCTAGAAAAGTGACAACACTACAAACTTTATATAGTTAGCTTCACTACTGGCAAAGCTCTAACAACGGCAAAAATAAGCTGTATGTTGTTACTTAAGTCCAACACTTTTGTATTCTGGAATGTACTGAACAATGCAGCCTCTAGGGGAACCTTTTAGAATGATGGGCAATGTTCAGAACACTGTCTATGTGTTGCTAAGTCATTACTCAAAGCCTGGACCCTTATTTGGTTTAATATGAAGGTTGATGATGGTGAACATAGACATATATACATATATTACAATCCCATATGTTCCTGATTTGATGTACTTGGGAGAGTCATTGGTAAGTCAGTAGGACGGCTCCTCTGTATGTGTAGGTAGTGTGCATTCTGTCTCTAGGAGATAAGCCTTCATTAACACTGACGAGCCTCTCTCTGTCTGCCTGCTGTAAATCCGTGATTGTCAAACATAGAGGGAAAGACTGCAGTGGAGAGACATTTGACAGAGAAATCACAAATCCCACATCGCTCCCCCACATTTTCACTGTGACAGCCTCCATTGTACACCGTTGTTTCATTGCTGGCATCGGACTGATAGAAGCTGCGTCCTATCAGCAGCACCAACCATCGCCCACTGGCCCGCCTCCCCAACGAGTGGGGGAATGCAGCAGGGCTCTCTCTAAGAGCGCTGCTCATGAATATGTACAATCATTATGAGTGATTAACATGCTACTTTGCATATGTACAGCCACTGTCTCCAGAATACAGATTGCCGGGGCCGATAGGGGCCCAACAGTGCCTCTCTAAATTACCCAGCCTTTGATCCAGCATTTATCAGAGCGGCAGTTGGAGAGCCCCGCTAGTAGACAGGCACAATGAATTATGGGCGCTCATTATATTTCTCAGAGGAGGAAAATGTTAAGTCTGGTTTTGGCAGCGTTGCCACGTCCATGAAAAGCTGCTAAAGTATCCCATTAAGAATATGATTGTAAGGAGTACTTGGAAGAAGTATGCTGTTGAGGTGCAAAGAAGGTGCAAACATACATTATACGTACACTGTATAAATTATCTTCAACCAAACACACACACTCCAACTGCCCTTCACCTCAAAAGACGCTATTATGAAACTCACAGTGTTAACTGATGTTTTTGTTCTAACCAAAAGACAAAAACTTCACATAATGCCATCATGTTAAGTACAAAGGAATCCATCTGGAGGAGGTTCAATTCAACCCAAAATAGTTGCCTGTTTGCATAGATTTAGATACATAGTGTTTCCTGTGTAGCTGGCTCACTGTGCTGTGTCAACATAAATTAACCCACTTCTACGTCCTCCTCTGATCATGTAGCCTATTCCTGGAGGCCTCACTGCAGAACCTCAAATGTTTCTATCACAGTACACAGTCTGTGTATTTGAGAAAGGCCAAAAGGAAAAGCCACTTCACTTCACATATGTTTAAGAATGCTACCTGTACATGTAGCATCTCTCATAAAAACACACCAGGCACACTTAAAGACTATAAACTGTATCTAAATGTAGATGCTTAAATTGTGCACTGGGACTTAACTGGGTATGTAAACAGATGTTGTAACAACTGGATGTTTACCTTGCATGTTCTTCAGGGAGCTTCCTTTGTCGCTGCATATGAAACATCAAGTCTCCGCCGTTCACATATTCAATCACCAGAAATAACCTGGAAATCAGAGCATGGTGAGAAAATCCATCACGTAAATACTGTTTAACAGAGGCTCTTTGAAAAATGTTAAAGACTAGATATTTAAATGATGAATCATCATGATGTAAAAATGGTGATGACATGTCATAGTTAATTAGATATAAATAAATACATGTTATGTCTGCTTTGGCATATTCAAAATATTAATTTCTCCCTTAAAAGTCCCTGTTGAATAGGACTGAATCAGTGCTACATTAAAGGCATCAGTTCATGTTTAAAACAACGTTCCCAACAAATCCATTAAAGAGACCAAAACCAGTGAATGTGTACAAGTATTAGCAGTAGTCTGAAGATGCCTTCTGTTGCATTTACATGAACATGGCCAGCGCTGTTTGTCCTGAAACACCACAACTGCGTTTTCAGTGTCATGTCACTGGGTTCAATGTTTACATTGTTTTGCTAGTTTGACCGAGGAATAAACTACATTTGCTCTGTCTGCTGTCAGTTTATTGTTTATTGCATGGTATGGCTTGTTTATGTGTTTTAATAACCATGCTTTTGCTACACAGACAATACTTCTTAGTAGGAAACATTAATTTAATGGGATTTTTGGATTATTATGAGACAAACCTTATCCTTTAATGAAGAACAGAAAGTTATATTTCATTCTTCTGTCAGACACTGTGAGCTGTAACAGACTAACTGCATTGGCTTTAAATACAGTGTGAGCTCTCTCAGTGACAGCCTTATCATGCTCTTACCGACTTTCTGTCTGGAAACAGGAGTGGAGGCCTACTAGGAATGGATTGGTGGACGCCTGCTCAAACACATGCTTCTCTGTCTGCACCCAGTCAATATCCTGGAGAGACGAGGGGAGACAGACGGAGGCAGAGATGGCATAAGGATAACGTATTAACAATCAATTTGTCTGATCAATAGGCTTTCTCTGTGGTTAAACAAGCAGGCGGAGATACACTGCGCCACACATAAAAGATGTAGGTAGCCTTGAGAACAATCCCCACACTGGATTATTCTGAGACTGTTCCAGTTCAGAGGGTGGACCTTGGATGGCGTGCCAAAAGATAACCAGGCAGCACAAACGCCAAACTAGTTTTGAAAGCCATCCACTAGTCACTGACACGAAGAAAGGCTCATACACCTTTTGAAAATGACATCCAGATAGTGTCATTTAAAAAAAATAAAAGCTCTATGTGTTGAAAGTGAAGAATGTAGAAGGACACCATTCAAGAAAATGTCCCTGAAAACCAAATTCAGATTTGTCAAATCTTTTGACTATGAACAAATACATTTAGATAGTCAAACAGAGTTTAGATTCGTTATCGATTCCAATATCAGAAGCGACATTTTAATCAGAGAAGCACTGATATAAATATCGGACTGTCTAACAGTGTCTCACTCATAATGGCTTCTACATAACACAAACATTCAGTTTTTTACACTACTCTGCACAGTGTGGTCACTAATGTCACTTTAGGACACTGGCTTGTTGATTTTGGGGTGTGGTTGGAATTCTACTGTTTGAGTTGATAAAAACATTTAAATCAAATATAACATAAATCTGGGGAAAAACTCAGTATTGTGTGTGAGATGATGCTTTAAACAGGTTAAAAATAAAAAAAAATACTCAATTACAAGAAAAATAATGTAAAGTGTTACTTACGTAAACATACATAAATATCATCATGTCAGTGCTATACCACAACATATTGTTGAATCCCTATTACTACATTAACATCTAAGTAAAGTAACGTTAAGTCAAATTTTACCATTCTCATCATCAGTCGCTACAAAGTCCTTCACATTAAAAGACCAAAGACATAAAATACAGACACAACAGAGAGCCCAAGTCCCCTCTCCTTCTGGTGGACGACCATATGGGATCTAATTTTGGAAAAATTACGTACGGTCATCAGCGGCGAGAGACAATTAATGCTTTGATCCCGTTTGAATTGTGCTCTGAATTACACACATGATGTTTGTCAATTTAAAAGATAATTTAAGTCAAGAAAGTCGCAGTTTGTTGTTAAATTGTTGAAGTATAGACTATGAAGTCATTGGATTAAACACATCAGGTGAGATACATCTGTGCGTAGCACATAGTTAAATTACCTAGCTAGAAGAAATGAACGTTAGCTCAACATTACAGTGCTAACATGTTAGTGATGATGTGTGAGACGAGAGATGTAGTTCACTGAGTGGTGTCATACAAAACTAAATGTTACTCTTTTTTTCTTGACTAAAATTATCTTTTAAACTGACAAACATCATGTGTGCAATTCAGGGCACAACTGAAATGGGATTAAAATATGTTTTCTTTTGCCATTGACTTCTGTATGTAATTTTTCCGAAACAAGGTCCCATGGGGAAGAAAGGAGGGACTTTGGGTCTCTATATAAGAGTAATAAATAAAATGGAGTCTGCCTTTTAAATATGTCCACAGATTTGAAAGTTTAGGGACCAAATAAATGTAGTAATGTAGTTGTATAAAGCTTAAAATGGAAATTCTCAAGTACACATGCCTCAAAACTGTTGCCAAGTAGTGCAGCACTTCATTAAACATACTTTGTTACCTTCAACCGCTGTGAGTCAGTAAAGCCAGAGTGTATCACTGTTATCAGTCAGCTGCGGTGTAAACTGTTCATACTTCAGTTACAGAGAGCTGTGAGTGTTCAGCCTGAGGCGCCGATGTTTTATGTTGATTTAAAGTGTCATTAAGTTGATGATACTTAATGTTTTATGTGAGCTACAACAGAGAGTGCCTACATTTTGAGTTTCCCGTACTGTGCACCAACACCATATGGTGAATAACATTACAATACAGACCCCATATTGTGCGCATGATACGAAAATTCCTTCTGGTCAACTCATTATTACTTGAGGAATTTATAATTATGCAGAACACATCTCGTATTCAGTAGTTTGTAGTCTGTCCGTGTTTACAAGCTCCCTTTGATGTCAGGCATTAGACTACCAAAGAGATGAATTATTAAACAAATGTGCATGAATACAGCCATGAATAAATGAAAATGGGGTGTCCATTCAAAACATTAGGAGGACGAGATGATTTCCTCAAATCCTCAAAAAACTGCATCTTTTGTCTTGGACAGCAGAACAGTTGGATTTAAACGCTGGATTTAAGTATGACGTGTTTATGTGTGGAAAAGAAAAAAAACATTGAGCGAACTGAAGGCATGAAGCCTGTGATGTCATTTATGTTATTCTGGATTAGTTGTGCAGGTTTTGGACGATGCAGTAGCTCAGTGATCCTCGGTGTGGTTACATGAGCCCACCAATTTGTGTTTCCCCCGTGGAGTTATATCTTGAGCTAAGGCGCCATCTAGTGGGATAACATAAACAAAGCAAAGTCAACAGGATGCAGAGCACTTCTGTTTACCTGTCTGTAATAACCTCTCTCATGTAACTTTCTGTAACTCGTCTGTAATTCTTTTGTCTGTAATTCCTCAAAAGCAATTCCTATTACAACACTCAAGGTATGTGAAAAAATTTGTTTTGTTTGGTTGACTGAATATGGAGGTAATTTTTGGACACTAAAATGTGTCTCAGCCCAATGTGAATGATGTGTATCTCTGCATGTTTCCTGAGTTAGAAACACCATGCAGATAGTCTACCCAGATTTCATCTTCTCCTGTGAGTCACCCACTCACTTATTCCTGCTTCCTCCTAAGCCCTCTTTTCCAATTCATAAGCTCTCTGCCACTTTTGTGTCGTTTCCACCCCCACTTCAGCTTCCCCCCTTTGTCCAATTCTTTTTTTTTCTCCTCATTCCTTTCAGAAGCCCCAACCAGCCTCTGACTCAGTCTTCTTCACTCCTTTTTACTCAATCCTGCTCTCCATCTCCCCGCACAGCATTCACTGATCTGTCTCCACCCTTCCTTCCCCACTCATATCCTGCACATATCCTTCCATCCATCCTTTCCTCACTGATTACTGCTTTTAGTCTCTTGGCTAGCTGTTCTCAATCCCCAGCAGTCCTTTAACAACATGTACTGAAAATGTGGTACAAAGAGGATTTTAAATTCAACTCATCCATGAAACCCATTTGACCCAGTCTGATTTCCCTTTCACCTATCCTGGTAAGTACTACTCAACAGTGAGATGCACATTGGCTGGTCTGATGGCATCATCTGATGTATGCAGCAGAAATAGAGGCAGTAAACAGACATAAAAAGCCACTCTGGGGAGTAAATTTGATTAAATTGCTGCTGTTCTGGAGCAGTGACGCATTTTGGAGCTGGGAGACAGGACAGTGGTATATCCTTATGTCGCCTACATGTGGGTTTACATAGAAATCAAAAGGTGGAGGTGTTTTGACAAGCGTGTTATGCCACCAGTGTGTATCCAGAACAATGTTTGGTCCAGTAATGTCACCCTGTCCCTGATCCATTTCTCGGAAATCCAAAATAAAAAGAGTGGAAGCAATATCTGGACACAAAAAATAACCAACATTTCAGGTGCTTTTTTTTGTTTTTCCTCCATATAAAAGCTGTCTGATGGTCTGACTGCTTTTGTTTCTTGACCTCATGTGGTGATGTCATCGAGTTTCCAGATCTCAGCAATTACTTTGGTGAGTATAATGTTATCACAATGTAAAATACGGTTGCAATAAACCAGAATTGTGCCTAAAGACTGCAAAGATCACATTCCTTTAACACCATCAGCACTCACAGATGCCTCAGGTTCAGGTCAATGCTACACTCTGATTACGAACCTACTTAACACTGGTGCAAGAAGAGGGCCTTTGCGAAGAGTCATGTAGCAAATGGATAAACACGCAAATGGATAAACAAGTCTAGAGCATTCACATCCGGAGAGACCGTTAAAATCATCTTGCATCATACTATTTGTGAACTTGGATTTGTACTTGTAGCTTCCAAAACTGAATTCTGCTCTCATACATACATAAGACACACTTACTACCAATAAATAAAAAGTATTCATATATGAACCCTGGATATGAACAAAGTGGACACAAAGTGAAAATTGAGTAAAGTGGCTTCCACTTTTCCTCTTAGTCTTTTGGAACTCAGCAGATGACTCATGATCACTTGCATTAAGTGTCTCTATTGTCTCTATCAAGTCCACATCTAATGAAGGCTACTTAACAGCAGAGAATAAGGCACATTTATGAACCTTCTTTCACACAGTATCTACACTGCCTGTCCAGTGTTTTTCATGACTGCGCCGCTTTCAGTCAGTCTGACTCAACATGTAGCTACGCACCTGTCCCTGTCTCGCGTACTTGACATCCCAGGTGTGCTTAGTGTCTCACCTCATCATCATGGACCAGCTCCTTCTTCACCACCTTCATGGCGTACACCTGCTCATTCTTCTTTAGCCGAACCAGCAGAACCTTCGCATAGCTTCCACGGCCGATCACTCGGATCAGGTCAAAATCGCTCAGCCCGAGCGCCAGGCCCTGGGACAGCTTAATGCCATCGATGCCATCCACTACTGCTTTGATGTCCTGGGGGGGTTGGGGGGGGGGTGTATTAGTTTGTATGTTTTTATGGTTAAGTTTTAGGTAGAAGAATGATCAAATGATGTTAAACAAAAAAAGGATGCAGTCAAAAGACAGGGTGATTATTTTACAAACTATAAACCTAATAAACATGAAACTGCAAACCACTATCAGAGCCCTTCTCACCTCTGTGTCTGTGTCTTCTGTTTTATCCACTGTACAGTTGTGCGGTAAAAAAGGTACTGCAAAAAGACAGATACAGAGTCACTGAAGTTTCATCATCTGGAGACAGAAGTGAATCTGAATTACAGATTTAACATGTTGTTCCTTGTTTGGCCAGCAGAAGGAGGTAGAGTACACAGTATCAAGTCCAGCTGTCCACAGGACATACCAAACTAGGTCAATCCATAGGGGGTCCCAGAGCATCTCAAATCAGGGACCCCCAAACAGACCACAGTCTCCTTTTAATAGGATTTAACACTCTGTTCTATGGGATGCCACCAGAGAGCTGTAATGTGGTTAGATAACAGTCACAGAGTTACGTAAGTGGTGACAGTGAATGTGAGGTGAAGCTACCAGGGTCCATAGTTAGACTGGAAACACATCCAAGGCCCCTGAGGATTCCTTGATCCTGGTCTGGCAGCCATGCACTTGTGTATATATTGCACTCTCCATCTAATATACAGTACAATTAGTTTCTTCACTGGAGAGCTAAGGAAACAGGTCTTTTAATTTTTTTATTATTTTTGCTCATTTAAAGTCATGGGAGGTGTGTTAAGTCTTAGTATTATCCTGTAGCTTGACGCAGATGTGTTTTTTGCTGGTAGATCATGAACTTCCTACTTAAAGCTGGATATCGTTATTTTCAGAATTTTATTGGCTACACAAAGTGCCAGTCATTGGCACAATTGGTTGCAATTGGCTCAGCCTACCCACGAAATAATAGAGGCAGGCCCTTCCTTACAGCACAGGCTCTCATTGGCTATTGTAGACTGTGGACATGGGACATGTGACCTCCTATTGAGTTGGATTTGGTGTCGCTCGAAAGGTCAGAGTTCAGCAGCTAATTTGAACATAAGATATCAAAGTTGTTTACATTCAAATCGGAGTTATTACGGTTATGACGACATACGAGCCACGTATGCTCAAGTATGGACTCCCGTAGACAGTTACATTAGCTTATTATCAGTTCACCTCAGTCAGCATCACCTTACTTACTGTTCACCTAAGCCTTCACTAAGTTACATATCTTGAAGAAACTGGACCCAATAACCTGTTAAAAAGAAAAGTTTTTGTGTCTTACTCCCATCTGTGTCCTCTGTGTCATCTGGTGGAAGGTCCACCTCTTCACTCTTGGCGTCTGAAGGGGGCTCTTGTGATGGCATGACTGGATCCTGAACAAAGGAATTAAGAAATCCACCTAAGGCATATATCTGAAAATATCCACTGAAATATCCACGCATGGTTTTATACTCCTGGAAGAGGGAGTGATGAATCACTTTTGGAAGGACAGAGGACAGGCTTGTATTTAGAGAGGTGCTCTCAGCTAATGCACACACGTTGTTTTGCTCTGTGACTCTAATGACAACGTGGGGGTTTCACTAGAAATAAGTTAATCTTATCAAGCCTCAAAGTCACTTATCTGGCACTGAAGATACCAGGTTGAAGCTGTGATCAAGACGGAGTTGGGGGCAGTTCACCCCCAGTACCTGAGCTACATTGATTTTCTAGTCAGGATTTCGGTCGTCAGACGCAGAATTTTGGATCTTTACATTTGGTCAGATGCTTGCTTTGTGCTGATATGGATTAACTACATGGAGCACACTGGTGTCACTAAACTTGATGTTTCATTTCAATAGGATGGGCGAACAGAACAAGAGGATGAGCTGCAGAAAGTCCATAGTGACAAAAAGGAAATGTTGAATGCACTGAACTCTTTGCTCTTTCATGGGTTTGTCTGCTACAGCAGCTTCTCAGAGGCACCACTATGCAACACTTCTTAAATATTCATTAATACAAACGTAAGATGGGGGTCACAGAGGTACAGAGAAAAAGGCTGAGGTTAAACTGTATGATTAGAGTGCTAACCACTTTTCTGTCCAAAACACAACAGAAAAACACTTAACCCAAAAGTACAGCGAGCATCACACAGTACACTGTAGACATTTTAGTATTCTGTTCTAAAATCAATTACAAAATCTGAAACTAATTTCCCTTCAATAAAACCTTACATAAAGATGACTTCAAACAGTCAGCCTGACATTTAAAAGGTAAGAATAGGACCTGCGTTCTATTTCTACTTGATCTTATGAACTTGAACCTGAAAGGACGTTATCAGTTATGATAACATTGTTCATCTATCATTACACCTTCTTTACGACTTGTCTGATATGCTCGTGTTTCTTGACCCTTTCGAACGTTGCTGTGTGCCCAGGTCTCAGAAATGACCCAGGTGAGTACAATGTTATTAAAAACTGATAGTAAAGATGGCCAAAACTATGAAATTAACACCCACGTTATGCTTTAAACTTAAATGAAGAGTTGTCTGAAGATAAGCATAAAGTAACCTGTGATAGCAAGCTTGATGTTGGGATTGGATATGACAGGCTGTGCTGTTTGCCGCTCTGAACATGAAATACATGATGAAATACTCACCATAAGCCTTTGGCAGGTCTGAGGGATGAGTCTGTGACAGCGCTTATGGACCAGCAGTTTGCAGTTGATACACTTGTAGCCCTGCCTGCCCAGCCCCCATATCCTTTCACTACAGTGGCCACAGTAGGCTTTCTGTAAGACACACACACACAGGACAGGACACACTGACAGGTTAGTCTATAACTCTCACACTGCCTGACACAATCACTATTGATTTTTCATCAAGGATTAATTAACAGGAAGCACTGACAAATAAACAACTGCAGATTCTGATGGATGTGCAATAACAGGTCGCAGGAAACCCGTTCCAGATAAGGTCAGATTTATTTATTTATTTATTTATTTCTATTTATTTATTACAGGGACAGTGCATATTCATAAACATTTCTGTCAATATGCCAGAATTAGCCTAAAGGCTATTTTTCATCTGCAGTCCCTAGACAGATGGTAAGAGTCACCCTAAAAAGATTACATAGTACATAGCACTAAAAAATTAAGATACATTTAGTAAAATATCTATTATATTAGAATATACAATCTAAACACATCAAAACAACAATCGGACAAACATCACGTAAAAACATGACACACACATAAGGAAAAAAAAGTCAACAGTGTCCCATTACCCATTTATTTGGATTCTCATATAGAAACAACTTCTCTTGTCGTTTTGTACTGAATGTTATTAAGGGGTGGTTATCAAACCTTCAAGTGAGTGGCAACCAAATTTGGCATTGAAAAGTGTCTGTAAATCCAGAGTCCAAAATGCTTGGCCCAGTCTTGTTAACTTATGAACTTATTCTTGAATCAGAATATCAGCAGTTTTGCAGAGTTTTCTGGCCACTTGGGTTCAGAACTCCACAATAAATTCACAATTGTGCAGTGTCTATGGCGTCTGATAAGCCTTCAAATTCGGTGTTCCCAGATTATATTCAATTGTCTCACCAGTACCAGAAGCAACAAACCCCCACCAACGCAGCCCTGTGCATTGTTTTAACGCAGGTCTGTCTTCAGTCTGAACAACACTCCAATATTCACTCTCCTTTTGGCTCTGGTTTGGTCTCCACCGACTCCTGAGAAGAATATCTGGCTCATTAGTGGCTAAATGCTCCACTGTGTTTGTGATGGAGTACCGTCACTACAGTTGAACCAGTGTTCACCAGCTAGTCTCTGACTGTATCTGTCTGCTGTTTGCTGCTGGGCAGGTAGTATAAGTATACAGTGTGTTCTTCAGAGCCCTTTCTCTGCTAATAGCTGCTGCTGGAAACGAGGTTGATCAGAGCCATGAGTCAGAACCAAAACAATAAAGTTGTGAGCCATACATCCAAAATAAGCTGAAAGACAATAAAGGCTTCAGGAGAGTTAGATATGTCTTTGTGGGTACCTTACTACAAGTGTTCCTGTTTCCTGCATTTGTATTATTGTTAATGTTTTGATTTTGATTGTTGCAGGTATAGTCATGATGGCATACTGGTCATCAACCTTTTCCAACATAAGTCCTTCTGGCACATGTTATTAGGGTTCATACCGCATAGCGGTAGAACCCTTCTATGTTTGTGTGTTTTAGTTATTATCATTGGTTGTCTGCCGCGCCGGCTCAAATTCCCGTGAGCTGGAATGAGCTAGAAACATGAAACTTGGGGTAATAATTGGAAATGGTGTGCATCAGCTTCCATAGAAATATGAACCCAATCGGCCACATGGTGGCGCTATAATTAAGGCTTAAAAATGCAAACTTTGAAAGGCCATGCCCCTTACACCGTAAGTCCAATTGACTTGAAATTTCTCACACAGTTGCAGCTCGATTTGCTCTACAAAAAAGCCTCAAGGACCGCCATTTTGAATTTTTTGAAAATCACATTTTTGACATCTCCTCCTAGACCGTAGCTCCGATTGCCACCAAATTTTCAGTGAATCATCATTGGATCAAGCCTATTAAAATTTGTATAAAGCAGGTCGATATCTCAATTACTTTTCAAGATGTGGACCAATGAACTTTGTAAGGGGCGTGGCTCTGGACATAAATGACCACAAATCAGCAACCGTAGGGCTGATCATCACAAAACTCACAGGATATGTTCAGATAGGTGCCCCAGATATACCTGGACAGTTTGTACATACGTCCCTAGGGAGCGCTACAAGCGCAAGAAAGGTGCTTAGCATTACAGAAATTACACTATAAATCCCATATTCATTCTCCAATCATCACAAATCTCTCAGGATGTGTCCTCATAAGTAAATGAAACATGCCCTGAAAGTTTCATTCAAATCGAACACCCAGGGGCGCTATAAATGCAAACAAACTGCAGGGGATAAAACGCAAATCAGGCTACAAAATACAAATTGTTTGTCCAATCAACACAAAACTTGCAGGATATGTCTAGATAAGGACCTCACACATACACTGCAAGTCTCATTCAAATTGACCACTAGGAGGCGCTATAAATGCACATAAATGCACTGCATTACATTCTGCAACACCTCGACTCTCCAGGGACACATGAAAGGATTCTGTTCGTGGACTTCAGCTCGGCGTTCAACACCATCATCTCAGAAATCCTCAGCACCAAACTCACCCAGCTCACTGTGCCAGCCTCCACCTGTCAGTGGATCACAAACTTCCTGACTGACAGGAGTCAGCAGGTGAGGCTGGAGAACATCACATCCAGCACCCGGACTATCAGCACTGGCGCCCCCCAGGGGTGTGTGCTCTCCCCACTGCTCTTCTCCCTCTACACCAAAAACTGCACCTCAGGAGACCCATCTGTCAAACTCCTGAAGTTCCCTGACGACACAACGGTCATCGGCCTCATCCGGGACGGTGAAGAGTTGGACTACAGACGGGAGGTTGATCAGCTGGGTCTCTGGTGCGGTCAGAACAACCTGCTCTGATATTATGTAACTTCTGTGTTTGAGTTAAAATGTCTTACCAGCATGTAGGTGTTGTCATATTAGGCTCTATCACTTTAAGTAACCTCTGACCCTGAACTGTGATGGATCATGGTTGTTTTTTTAAGAGAGGCCTCCGATTCGTTCATGTAGATGCCTGTCACTTTTCTAAACTTGTGATTGGTTAAGGGGCGGGCCTAACAGGCAGAGCGGAGCAGAGCTACGAGTCAGCCTGCTGCTTCCAGCGTGTGTTTTTCTCTGGAGGTAACTTATCCACAAGCTGCAGCAGACAGAAAGGTGTAATTTAATAATTATACAGTCAGTCAGTAGCCTGGCTGGTTTATAATAAGTTTGTCACTCTGCTACACAGTTTTGTGTGCTGTACTGTGTGAGAGCCGTGCTAGCCTGCAGATAGCAACAGGTTAGCAACATCGCTAACAGCAAGCTAACATTAAATGGACACTTCACCACTGACAGTGCCGCGCGTGAGCTGATAAGCACCTCTGGCTTTGAGGGAGACCATCCTGTACCTGTCTTCATCTTCATCTTTCTGAGAGGATTGCAAAACATGACACAGTTATCTGGACGATGCTGTGAAACTGAGCTTACTTTAAAGGGTTAAACACGGCTGCCCAACAAACAGGCGGAGGAAACAGCTACGAGCTCAGTGACGGTCGGATCGTAATGTTTATTAAACTCTGTGGAAAATATTAAACAGCAATGCGGGGCCGCAACGAGTCTGCGGGCTCTCTGAAAAACTTCAGTCCTCCAGAAGTTTGCCCAGAGGAAAAGCCGCCGCTGCGCCTTTCTGCTGAAGAGAGCCTGCTTTGGTGAGTGAAGCATCGTTAATCATCGTGACTCTGTGCTGCAGCTCCGTGTATGGGACAAACTGTTGTGCTGGATGAGATCCTCAGACCCCTTGTGAGACCATATGCTGGTGTGGTTGGCCCTGGGTTCCTCCTTATGAAAGACGATGCTAGACCTCATGTGGCTGGAGTGTGTCAGCAGTTCCTGCAAGAGGAAGGCATTGATGCTATGGACTGGCCTGCCCGTTCCCCAGACCTGAATCCAATTGTGCACATCTGAGACATTATGTCTCGCTCCATCCACCAATGCCACATTGCACCACAGACTGTCCGGGAGTTGACGGATGCTTTAGTCCAGGTCTGGGAGGAAATCCCTCAGTAGACCATCCGCCACCTCATCAGCAGTGTGCCCAGGCGTTGTAGGGAGGTCATACAGGCATGTGGAGGCCACATGTTTTAAGGACATTACATCAAAGTTGGATCGGCCTGTAGTGTGGTTTTCCACCTTGATTTTGAGTGTGACTCCAAATCCAGACCTCCATGGGTTGATAAATTTGATTTCCATTGATAATTTTTGTGTGATTTTGTTGTCAGCACATTCAACTATGTAAAGAAAGGAGTATTTAATGAAATTATTTCATTCATTCAGATCTAAGATGTGTTATTTTAGTGTTCCCTTTATTTTTTGAGCAGTGTATGTAATCTGGTACTAATCATAGGAAAAATAAACACAAAGTTCTGAGACTCTTAGTTAGTTCAGTTGTCCTTACAATAAGTGCTCCATTTAAACCCAAGTAAAAATTGCACTGAAAAATATATACTGGATATATAAATAAATACTGGATTACACTATCTTATCAATAATTTTAATTATTTATTGGAAGTATATTCCTAGAGAAAGGATTCGGTTCTGTTGTAGAGGTCTTTTAAATTAGGAAAATGTAGTTAAACTAGCAAGGACCACACAATCAACAGGTACGATTAAGTGATTTATTGATGATCGAAACAGAAAGATGTACAAGGCTTGCAGTTGCTGAATAGACATTCGAGGCGTTGCGGGGAAGCTACGATAGGGAAATGCACCGTAGCACCCAGCCACGGCGGACCCCCTTATAACCCTATGGAGAGGAAGAAGGAGATCAGGAGGCAGGACCGAGAAAGGGGTGGGGGAGAGGGAGGCAGGATACGAGAGCAAAGAAGAGAAGTCAGGACGTGTGGGTATTTATGGTAATGCTGGCGATGACGTGGTTGAAGTGTGGTCCCGCTCCTGAAACTCTGCTAATCAGCATCACTTAATATCATGGTTGAGTCTGTATGGATTGTGTCGTTGAATCCAGTCAACTGGCCAAGCTACACCAAACTACAAATATGTATTTTTATGTTTATAATATAGTTTTCTGACTTGCTTGTAGTGCCTCAGCTCTATCATTGATGTAC